TCCCTTTTTGTGATGGATTTTATCTTATTCTCAGTTTTGTCAACTCCAGGTCCAATCCCTTGCTCCTGGCATCAACACTAGTGCTATCGAATGCACTGTGTGTGCATGTCCGCAACTCATTAGACCAGTCCTTATAGCCCTCTACCCAGGTAAGAGTTTCTCGGGGTCAAGAATGACGACTATTATATTTTGGCGTCAAACCAAAATGCAAACATTTGAAAGCATTGTGCATGTAAACGAGATTGTAAGCACTTATTTTGTTGACATGTGGCTTAGTTTATAAGATCTGCAATCGACATATGTGTTTCACTAAAAAACCTGGGTTATTGGGCTGATTTCATCAATCCAATATCTGGTAAACCGGTGAGTTGACTATTATCTTTTTTATTAGATGTGTCGTTAATGACCTTGATGTTAATTGTGTTCTCATGTTATTAGTGTCTTGGGTTTCACAATGAGCCGACTATCCTTCGTTTGAGCAAATGGTTGACGAATTTTTACTTTGTTGTTGCCAACGGGGGTCGCTGCAAGATTTTCCGGAACCAATATTGCGATAAACGCATGTTTGTTGGCATAATTTTTACAAATGCTCCGGAAGACCTCCCTATGTTGATTCACTTGTCCACTACAGGGAGATAAAATGCTGCTCTTTTCCGTCTGCGACGTGATGACAGGTGGTTATTTTATTGAATGTATCGTGGATTTTGGGGTTTTGCACTCTAAAGAATTTTTTCATCGAGTTTGCTAAAAACGTCTTGTGAATACAGGTATGACACATGGCATTTTTGGAATGTGTTTGAGGTTTGTTGTGTCTTGACATTGCTTATTTGTGCATGCACGGAGGTTCATCTGATTGACAAGGAATTTATTGTTAGGTCAGAAATAATCTTAGGTATTCATACTAACAGGCTTTATTGTTGATAAACAAAACTGAGATGTGTCGGTTGTGCGTAATCTTTATCACTCGTGTGCGATGATAGTAAGCCCATAGATTTGTTCAATTGCTCCAATCCAAA